TCAGGAAGAAGGAGCATGAGAAGCTGGAGAAGTACCAGGGCCTGAAGGAGGAACTAGAGAGGATGGGGAAAGTAAAGGCCAAAGTGGTCCCAGTGGTGGTAGGAGCACTCGGGGCCGTGACTCCTAAGCTGGGAGAGTGGCTTCAGCAGATCACAGGAACAACATGAGAGCTTTCTGTCCATAAGAGTGTAGTGCTTGGAACAGCTAAGATACTGCGCAGAACCCTCAAACTCCCAGGCCTCTGGTAGAGGACCTGAGATTGAGGAAGACACATACCACCCATAGGGGTGAGAGGGGAATTTATATATTTGTGAATAAGTGAGCACCCCCAGTGAATTCAGTTGGTTCTATTTCCAGTAAGAGGAAGTAGAATTATTCCCTTAGTTTCAAACATAAAAAACTTCCAGATATCCATGTGACCAATGATTTCTTCTTTTTCTCTCCTTTAGGTTGTACTTTTGTATGCCTCAACCTATGTTTTAGTATCACTAAGCATAGACAGATATCATGCCATTGTGTATCCAATGAAATTCTTTCAAGGAGGTAAGAGATTTCTGCTGTTATTCTCCCATTGTTCTCCCCTCTCCTTTAAGAAGCTTTGTTTGAACCCGGGGTGGTTTGCTTGAAGTCCCATTATTGCAATGGAAGTCAACCCCCCTTTTTGTGGTTTCTGTAATCTCCTTTTACCACATTTGTATGAAAATTAATGATGTGGTTTCCTGCTGATTTGAGGCAGAAATCATCTTTAGAAAACTATAGTGTATGGTCTAAAACAAAATTGTCATTTACAAAAAAAGCAAAGAAAACCCTCAAGTCCCTCCCCCCCCCCAACAACAACAAGGAAAACTTCAAAGCATCCTGACCTGATGACTTTGAAACATCATCTTGTTCTCTGTGGCTCCTGGATGCTCAAAAGCCCTCGGGCATCCAAACTTTGCCCAAATGGGAGCAATTAATCTTTTTACTACAAATAATATACTAGTTTCCTTTATTAATTCCTACTCTTAGATACAGTGCCCAATTCCTTGTTATTTTTCTGATGGTAGGGGTGTCAGACTTTTGTTTTACTACCATTATTACAATAATGTATGATATTTTGCTTTAAATGAATGTTGAAGATCTTTCCTCTCTCATTAAGACTTCAAAAGTTAAGAAATTATAAAAAACGAATCCTGGCCATTCTACATCAGCAACAAATTCAAAGATTCAATTAAATTGAGACCTTGACATATATCTTGTTACTTTGAATGCATCAGGGTTCCCATTCACATTAATGGAAACATTCGTTGTACAAGTAGGATTTCCAGCTAAACCCTGCAGTGTGGAGCAGCCCACTTCAATCTTCTCATTAATTAGCTGTGCCCTCTTCTACAATGTTTCCTATGAATTTTCTTCCCTGTTTTCATTTTATGGCTACTAAACTCTTTTAGAGTGTTTCCAAATGAGATATTTAAGGGAAGTCTGGACGATACCAACTTCCTTTTCTAATCTTTCAGTGTATTCTATTTTATACATAAATGGACTTCTAGATATGTCTGTAAGCAATTGTTGCTTTACTACAGAAAGTCCATTAAGGAAGAGAAGTTAGAACAACATCCTAATGTATAGTAGCAATAAAAGCCATCCATTCTGAAGCACTCTAAATCTCACTGGCTACTTAGGTTGAGTTCCATGGATATGCTCAAACCTTCTTCTTGCAAAATGCTTTTGAAGTTCCTTCAGAAATAACACAGACAGTCTGACCATTGGATAGAAAAGAAATTATTTTAAAAAAATAAGGAAATAATAAATAGAATTGGAGAAATTATGTTGGCTTTTACAGACATAAATACTGCAGCCAGAAATACGTACAACAATGGGAGATTTGCTTGCAGGAAGTATCTTTAAATGTGGGGGGGGGGGGAACTTTTCCGAGGAAGGGTGTTCTAGATTAGGTTTTTATTGAACAATCCTGGAAAAAAGTATAGCTATTCTTAGGAAATAAATTGATTTAGTTCACAGAACTTCTCAGGTTCTTTTTCTTCAGTATATAATTTGAGGACTAAAAGAGGGTTCAAAAACAAAGTTCCTTGGAATAAAATTAGAGAGAGAGGGAGATAGATAATACATTGTTACTGCATTCTTAAATCTTGTGTTGTCTGAAAATAACCATGCCTTTTTGATATGCACATAATCAACCAAATGTATATAATCATTCCTGGGTTTTTACTACTTCAGACAGAATGAATGTTTAATGCTTTGTCACACTGAAAACGACTCTACCTATACATGGAAAATTACAGTATTGTGGTTATGCTAACCTATATTTTTTCCCAGTTTATTATTATTTAAAATTTCTGTTCTACTTGAGTTTTTGCAAGGTCACTGTTGTGGGAATCAAGTTTATTTCTCCTAATATGCTTGATGTCTTTGGAGTGATAGTATTATTCAAAGGAAAATATGAGATGCTCTGAGTCATTACAAATATCTATATCTATATCTATATCTATATCTATATCTATATCTATATCTATATCTATATCTATATCTATATCTATATCTATATCTATGATGGGCATCAGTGGTTGAACATTTGCTTTGGATATAAATGGTCTCAGATTCAGTCTTCAGGATCTCCAAGTAGACTGGAGAGTCTCTGCCAGTCTGTGTTGACAGCATTGGACCAGATGGACAAATTGGATGATTCAGCACAAGGTAGCAAACCTATAGGGGGCACTTTTTCATCTTCATGGGCATAAAAAAACCTTACACTGTGCTGAGCAGAGAAAGAAAATGGGTGTAGATGATGGAGAACTGCTGGAATATGCCCCTGATTGTGCAACCTGAAGGGGGAACCCATAAAAGGTATTCTGAATTATGTTAGCCCAGGTATGTTATGCATACCTGGGCTGCAACAATCCTGATGTCCATTGCCTGTTAATTTTTGGTATATCTTTGCTCTGTCAATTTACCTCATGTAGTACATCTAAAACATCCTAAGCCTCACCAAATGAATTATGCTGTACTAATGTGACAATTTTATTTACCTAGGAAGGATTGAGATTAGAAGAAGTAAGATTTGTCTCATATAATTATTACTGATATTAGATTCTATTATTTCAACTTTCTGTATATCACTGGGTGTTAATACAGAAGCAGTTCAGCATAATGTTATAAACCTGGTGGATTTGAGATGGACAGATATTTGCTGATGTCTATAATGTTATTTTTAAAAAAATCTTCATTCAATTCAGGAGACTGATTCGGAGAAGTCCAATTCCCCTACCCCAGACTGTAAAATATCTTTTACATACAACTTTAGTTCTCCATTGGGCAGAAAGATCGACTTGCTGTTTTATGCATAGCCTTTTGCTCAACTTCGATTTTGCTGAGCATATTTTTACTTTTAGCAACTTTTATTTTGAGCACTGTGATTTAAAAGAAAATGTAAAGGGCCAAAACATGTGAAATTATGAACAGCCTTCACCATCAGGCTGAATGCATCCTTTCTTACCGAACTGAAAAAGCTATTTTTAAGTACTTCCTGCACAGGGAGATGCTATTAACACTTTACAATTTTTTATTACCAACCTTGCTGTCTAGGTTAAGAAGTACAGAATAGCTGTACTAAACAAGTGAGCTTTCTTTTTATTTTCTTCCCAATGTCCCTGATGTTGAAGTATTCAGCAGGGAATAAAAAGGCATCTCATTCACTTGGGGCTAAAGTAGGATGTTGCTTTTATTGCCTACTTAGTAACCAGAGTTGTTTTCCATGAGATGTAGTAATGCAATGCACAGGGAAACCAAATTGACCTAACAAGCCTAAAAAAATTTCCCAGTGCCAATTTTCTTCCTTTTGATTTTAGTGGGGACGTTGGTTTGAAAAGGAAGGTTTAAATTTCCCCTCCCAACATTATCATGATCATAACTGGATAAGGGAGACACACTATTTTTTTTTTAAGGTCTAATATCTAACTATGATTGCTAACTATGCAATATAGATAGTCCTTGTTTAGCAACTACCTTGGACAGCGACCATTCACAGTTACAGTGGTGATGAAAAAGTAACTTTGTAACCAATATCTGCATTTACCACCTTTGCAGCATTTCTCTCTCTCAGTCATGTGCTCACCATTATAATCAGTTAGTACGCGTTTTCCTGTGCCTGACCTGTTTTTTTCTCCCCTGCTCCCCTTGCAGAGTAGAGAGATTGCCAAAACAAGCTATCTCTTCCTGAGCTGTTTTTCTCCCCATCCCATCCCTAAAAGTGCTAATCACAAATTAACAAGCTCAGCTCTGTGACCTTAACTGATTATAATCTTCCATCTGACTGGGCTGCTGCCTGACACTGACCAGACCCTAATCAGTTTCACACCAAAGGCTTTTTGCCTCCTAAATGGCTTGCAGCTCACAGCTGTGAGCACGCTAAGGAAACAGCCGGCACTAGTGCATTCCTTTCTATGTGCATTGCCCTTTGTGTGCCTGCTTATTCTCTTGTAACCCCTTCCTCTCCAAAGAATGCAAATATAAACATCAATTCTCTTCTTGCTAATTATCCCAGTACCTGGGTGAGCATTCCAAAGGGTGGGGGAGCTGAGAAAAAGGACTATAAGATACCCAGCTTCCTCGTGAGTTGAGTTCCAGAAATTTTCCCCACCATTTGGGCTTACCCAGCTATTTGGGGTCATATCAATGTAAGGCAAAGGAAAGCTGAAGTAAAATTGTAGGCAATCACAGTCACGTGATTTTCACTTAGCAACCACTTTGCTTAATAACCAAGTTGCCGGTCCCAAATGAGGTTGCTAAATGAGGACTACCAGTAAACAAGATCTAATTTGCTTTTCACTGACTTTGTGCAGTATCCCAGTTGCTGAGCCTCCTCCCAGGGCAGGGAATAAAAAATGACTCACCCATTTATTTGCTCTGTGCAGCTTTCCTGCATGGCTTTCAACAGTATGAAATTTGCTGCCCCCAGATGTGGAAGTAGTCACCAATAAACATAGTTTTAAAAAGAGACCAGACAAATTCATACAGGATTGAGTCATCAGTAGCTGCTACCTTCTGAATCATGGGCTTTGCAACACTGACAACTGGGTAAGAAAGGTAAAGGTAGATTGTCAACTCCTATCAGTGTTTCTGAGTTTCCTAAATGACCACAGTACAAAACAGAACAACACTGGACAAGAGAGACTTTAGGCCAGAACCAACACAGCTCTTATTTTTTATGAATGGCAAGACAAACAAGCTTCTAAGGCAGGGTTCCTCAACCTCAGCAACTTTAAGATGGGTGGACTTCAACTCCCAGAAT